ACTGGAAGTTTATTCCGGGTCCTTTGGAAAGAATCATCTGATCGCCTGAAAGTTTCATCTGATTTCCCCCATAAGCTTTTTTTCTGACTACGAAGACGGTCGTTCAGATCAACTCAAAATTAAGTCAGCAAGAGTGGATTTACTTAAAATTTTCAGGAAAAACTTCTCGAATATGAGGAAAATCGATAGAGGTTTCACTCAGTCTATTAGTATAGTCTACTAGACTCAGTAAAGTTTTCATGGATTTTCCATGACTTTTTGCCGGAAAATTCAACTCACTTTTGAGTAAATCCACTTTTGCCGAACTTGAGCCGATTCGACTCAATTTTGAGTCGGTCTGAACGACCGTGCAGGAAACTTTCATCCAACTTTCTCCGGAAGTTTCGTCAGATGATAAAACCAAAACTTTGGCTTGCGACTTAGTTATTGCAGATAGCTTTTGTACACTTGGGAATGCGGTCTGTAGGTGAAAGATTAAATACGTTATTTTCAAGCGAATTTAGAAGAGAATCTCTAAAGGATAATCTCAACTGAATTTTCAGAAAGAATACAAATTAATTGTGAGAATAATTTGAAGTGAATTTTGGGACGATGCTTTGGGAATGCTGAGCTTATAACTAGATGAAATGCAAATTTATATAATAGGGGAAATGGCTCTAATGTTGGCCTTTGGATCTAAGATTGGGCCCATCGCTAAAAATCTGCCATGTATCAATTTTATCTAGATGAACGCGTCATTGAGACGGTACTAATGAATATTTTTGGTCGCTATTGAAAATTTAGTCGATTGTTGAATTTATGCATGGGCCCAAATTAGGGGCATTTAGGCCGACATTACATCCATTTCCCCTAGGTAATTGGATCAACGATATTTAAACATGTGCATTCAAAATCGACGACTTTTAATTCTGCATGTCAACACCTTTGACTCTCCTGTCTCTAATCCTTCACCTATACATCTACGCTTCTATGTTAAGAATCAACTTAGTCCTCGGCAGATTTCAATCGACTCGCATATTTTTGTAGACGACATGCGTCTGATTATCTGGTTGTTATATCAAACATTCGGTATGAGGAGGGACCAATTGAAGTGATTTGGATGGGGGGAGTTAAGATGTCAACTCCCAGTTGCTAACATTTTGTGGATAAAGGGCGGGCTCTTCTCCCCATTCATTGGGGCATCTTCCTGTTAGATGGCTTGTTTTCTGACCAATTGGCTGATCAAGTTGTTGGAAGGAGATTCTAAACTGTCCTAAGGAAATAAATAGGCGAATTGCCTATCAATCCATCCATTCGTTTTTGATCCTTCATACAGCGATTTGCTGATGACAATCAGAGGTTATTAAGCTTGATCAAGTTCAACAGCGTGGAGAGCCCACAGCTATCGGACTAGTTTCCGTACTACAATGAGTGGTAGACCACTATCATCATCATCGATGCTTTGGGAATGCTGAGCTGAATGTCAAGGGGATTTCCCGAAAACATCCAAACTACACTTCCATGATAATTCTGTTTAGATTTCGAAAACGATGTCCAAGGTAATTAACACTCCGAATACGGTGGGTAAAAAACTTTACGCCGACTACGAAGCCTCCGAAAAACGTGTAACGGCAAGTTTGCAATGACCATTTCTAAATAAATTTCAAAAATTGTAGTACGTCTGGAATTGCTAGGGTCTATAGATTAGTTTTATGAGAAAAAGATTGAAAATAGGGTCGTCTACATTTTTTTAAAGAGAAAAGAGTTGTTACACGTTTTTAAAAAAAGTGTGTTTATGGTTTTTGCAAGTGGTTTAAACACAAATGCTCATTATTAGCCAGAATACAGTCATGGTTCCAATATATGGATCCTGGAGACAAAGGAACAGTCCTCCGGAAGATCCAGAACTACCGTAAAAGTGGTCAATCCATGAAACTGATCCTAGAGCTCCGTTTTTTTTTTAAACATTATGAATTGTGATAAATGAAAGAATTTAGAGACGTGACATAAACATGGACCCGGATGGCCATGCAATCGTTCTCCGGAAGATCCGGAATATCCGTAAAAGTGGTAAATTAATGAAACTGTTCCTATATCCTGCGGTTTTTTTTTTTTTTTTAAACACTTGGAACTGAGATGATAGAGAAAATTTGGGGTCGTGACATAAACATGGATCCGGTTGGCCATGAGACCGGTCCTCCTGAAGCCCGGATCATCCGTTAAAGTGGTCAATTCATTAAAACTGATCCTAGAGCTGCGCAGGGTCGTGACATAAACATGGATCCAGATGGCCATCGGACCGTCCTCCGAGAAATTCGGAACATCCGTAAAAGTAATCAATTTATGAAACTGATTGTAGAGCTCTGCGGTTTTTCTAAAATACTTGACACTGTCATATATAAATTAATTGGGGGTTGTAACATAAACAGGCCATCGGACCTCCGGAAGATCTGGAACATCCTTAAAAATGGTCAATCCACAAAACTGATCCTAGAGCTCCACGGTTTTTTCGAAAGAATTTGGAGTCGTGACATAATCATGAACCGGGATGTCCATGGAACCGTCGTCTGAAAGATCTGGAACATCCGAAAAATGGTCAATCCATAAAACTGATCCGAGAGTTCCACGGTTTTTTTTTTTTCAAAAACACGTGGAACTGTGTTATAAGAAATAATTTGGGATCGTAACATAAGCATGGACCTGAATGACAATGGGACCGTTCTCCGAAAGATCCGTAAAAGTGGTACAGCCATGATACTGATTCTAGAGCTGTCACGACCCTAAATTCTTTCTTATATCACAGTTCCAAGAGTTTTGAAAAAAACGCGTTTTCTCGCAGTTTCATGGATCAACTACTTTCACAGATCTTCCGTCCAATGGCCATCCGGGTTCATATTTCCGTCACGACTCCAAATTCATTCTTATATCACAGATCGAAATATTTTGAAAAACCGCGGAGCTCTAGGATAAGTTTCATAGATTGACCACTTATACGAATTTTCCGGATCTTCTATATGACGGTCCTTTGGTCATCTGGGTTCATATTTATGTCACTATCCTCAATTCTATCTTATATCACAGTTAGAAGTGTTTTTGAAAAAAACTGCGGAGCTCTAAGATCAGTTTCATAGATTTACTACTTTTACGGATGCTCCGAATCTTCCGAATTACGGTCCCATAGCCATCCGGTCCATGTTTATGTCACGATCCAAAATTATTTCTTATATCACGCTCCACGTGTTTGCGAAAAAAAAACTCCGCAGCTTTAGGATCAGTTTCGTGGATAAACCACTTTTACGGATGTTTCTGATCTTCCGGAGGACCGTTCCGTTGTCTCCTGGATCCATATGTAGGAACCATGACTGTACTTTGGCAAATTATGAACATTTGTGCCCATTAATCTTAATTATAGCCGTAAACCCGTAAACACAACTTTAAAAAAAAATGTGTAACAACTCTTTTCGCTTTTAAAACAAGTAGACGACCCTATTTCTATTATTTTTACGTTTAAAATAATCTACTAACCTTAGGAATTCTAGTGATACCACAATGTTTGAAATTCATCAATATACCATTGCAACCTTGCATCGTATTCGGAGTGTTAATATGAACATTCCAAGAGTAAATCTTCACAAAGGATAACTTTTTCAGAGAATTATGGAGAGAAAAAATAAGCGCATTTTTGCGAGGATTATCGAGAATGCTAAGTTAATTGAAGAGTGTATTTTTGGAGTATCCTGAAGGGGATTACTAAGGTGGTATGCAGTGAATTACGAAGGCTGTTATAGTCAAAAACATTCAAAGGAATTTCGGAGAGAATCATAATATTATTCAGGGGAATCCTGAGAGTATCTCTAAAGATGAACAGGCGTGGAACTGCTCTACTATGGAAAAGCGAAAATTCTGGTCTTGAAGAGATATTCAAGATTTCAAGAGAAAAATTCAGAATCTCGGACTGAGAATATTGATAATTAGAACTCGATTAACATAGGTTTCAGAAAAATTCCCGATTGTTTTCGCCAACTGACGGTTCTCACGGGTTTCCCGGTGAAATATCTGAAATATATTGGTGTTCTCCCAAGAATTTATACCGAAATTTCCTCGAAACCCTCAGGAAATTTTCACAATTGGGGGGATTAGAAGAAAAGGGTTGTAAGTGACTTTGATCGATTCTCTTCATCGACTTTCTCTTTTGATAGCCACAGCTTTATAAATAGATTTTGCGCTATTTCTGCCACATAGTTCTCATCTAGCATCCAGAAAGGCACACAAATCAAGGAATGTGTTTGCAGCTGAATTATTGACGAAAGAGAAAGTCGATGAAGAGAATCGATCAAAGTCACTTACACCCCTTTCCTTCTAACCCCCATCAATTGTTCTTCAAAGTGACTGTATCATGAAAATCTAATCCAAGGGTCTTCACCATTTTCCAAGATTTAGATTCTTATTTTATTTCCGAGGAGATGAAGAAGCGATTTGTCTTTCACTGAAATTCACAGGTTCAGGGTGTTGAAATAACTGTTGCAGGAGATATTGATTCCCCATTAGGTCCCATGGTCCTGCTGATGGGTCCTGTAGACTAGACTGGTTTTACCACTGAGCTTCTCGGACCTCTCCATCGCTCCCAGCTTTGCATGACTTGTCCTTAAAGGCCGCTGCACTATCCGCCTTTGAGGGAACATCGGAAATCCGTGAACAATGCGTAACTGAGGTCATGCTGAAGGAGAACGTCATGTTCCAATTGAGCCACAACCATTAGAAAAGAGTAGCTCAGCCAGCATACATGGCAAGTGACATTTCTTGGTGACGAAACACACGCCCAGCTAAAATTGTTCCTCAACCCGCGGGGCCACATAAATTCCAATCTAATCGCCCCCTAAAATTATTCCCCCTTAATTTTCCCGAAATTGTCAACCGGAAACTCCCCCTCCTTACACCGATAATTGCTATTGAACAAATTAACGAAAGCAGCCAGCTATCGTTTTCAGTGGGAGATCGTGTACAAATTCTCAGAGACTTACCTTGATCGCTGGCAACGCCATCTAGCTTGTGGTTGAGAATGTAGAACACGAGCACGAGCAGCGGCCGATATTTATCCATATTATCGGATCTCTGTTTTCCTGGTTTCGCCCAACAGGTCGTCGTGGTCGACGCTCAGCACAACCGAATTCTTCGTCGGAGACGTCGGGAGCAGCAAGGCGGCGACAACGAGCGGGAATGATGAAAAATGATGATGACGAAGAGCTGCTGCTGCTGTAGCCGTAGCTTCTTGTAGGAGCTCTTTGGAAATAGTTGACTCGCTGGGTCGTTTTTCCCCTAGTTCTTCGAGATGGGTTCTTTCACTTCACGTTGTATTCTTCTTCTTCTTTCGTTGGTCGGTCGTGATGCGCAAGCGACTAAGATTCTTGATCCTGATTTTCTTCGTTTTCTAGCTTCTTACTTTTCCCGGCTCTGTTGTTTGAGCTTCTTGATGATGATCGTTTATATTATCTTAATTTTTAATTTTATTTTTATTCTTCTCTTCATTCATTATCGTGGGCTTCTTCTTGCGCTTCTTCAGTGGCAACCGCGAACTGGTAGGAGTCGAATTTGACGACGAAGAAGTAGCAACGAGCAACAACATGATGAGGACGGTGGCGGCGGTGGTGGTGGCATGGCAATGCGAGTGAACTCTTCAGGAATCCACCGAGCGAGAGAGACAGGGAGATAGACCGAGCTCATTAGCTTTGTTGTAGCCGTCGTTGTTTCAGTTTCAGCTGCTGTCGCCCACCGTCAGCGAATAACAACTCCGGGACCTGGATTGGACTCGATTCTATTCCAACGACTACGGTGCGGAAAACGTCGGCCGAGGCTACCACAGTTTCCATGCTTCTGTAGCTCCCTCTGCCCGGCCACCGGATTGATTGCCGCCCTACTGTGTCTTATTCTTCGTTTTCTTCTTACTAGTTTCACTTCACGAAATCGAAACACCACAATTTATAATCTCACTCACTGCGACTGCCCCGAACACCGAACGCTTACACTTGGCCCAACCGAAATCACTGCCGCGCGAAACACAAATCAGCTCTATCAATTATCAACATGCTTCCACAATTTCGAGTAGATTATTTTTTCGTGAATAATTCCAACTTGAGCTAACAACAATTTTTCACCATAACAGCAGCATGCCTCTCTCTCTCTCCCCGACAAAAGCCAGTAACATTTTACAACTCTCCCATGATGGGGTAATAACTCATGCCAATATAATTCCGCGCCGCGAAGAACAGCGACTAGCGCGCGCTGTGCACGGAAACCTGTGGAAAGAAACAAAAGAAAAAGTATTAGCGATTTTGTTTACTCTTAAATGGCAGTTGATTTTGTGAACTATTGACTTTTCTTCCCCGCTCCACATTTGCCGCCTTCCCCCTTCCCTCTTCAAAATCGTTCGTATCACACGGCAAGTGAGAGGCAGTAGTCTACCTATAACTCTATTACAACGACGGGCTTGCAGGGCAGAGCCATGTGGAAACTCCCGTGATCTGAGGCCTGGACTGACTGACTGACTGGCTATATTTATCTAAATGGTCCCCGCTGTGGAGCCAAAAATGAAATAGTTATTCTTTCAGCGGCAGCAAATTCCGGCAGTCGAATGAATGGAAATCGGAAAATTATACACATTCAGTTGGGCGATTTGGCAAAAACGGTTTCACCGTTTAGTATATTTTGACGTAACATTTACAAATGCGAAAGGGCCGCAGTTGCTGGTTGGGAGCATTCTTTTAGATTGAAATCGATCTGTTTGATTAGAATCCTACCAGAAATGTGAAGTCAGCCGACCCAAATCATCCCTAGCTACTACTACTACTACGAAACACGGTTCTGAAGACGCCTGAACCACACTTCACAGGATGCTAATATTTACCCTCTCAACACCAGAATTGGGCCGTTCTATGGAAGCGTTTATATTTGCAAACTGGAATTGTCCGCGCTGCTGGTTGACTGTTTTATTCTACTGTAGCTATACCTTCCAGTCCAGCCCGCGCAGCACCTCATCGTACTGTACAGAGTCATCTCATCATCATTCCCTGCTGTGTGTTTGTACATGGCGACCAACCCAGCGACGACAACGACGACGCCGACGAGCAAGAACACCGAGGGTGTTATCAATATTTTATTCGCGCCAAGTTCACCAAATAGATGGCGGCCCCAAAGCGCGAGGTTGATTTGCTATGCATCCAGGAATGCATTAGACGGGTGCAGAATGCCAACCAATGGATGGCGCTTGGGTGTAGTAGTGTTCACTACCCAAGTAACATTGCAAGTTTTATCGTGGTTTTAAAGCGTTCTCAGGATCTTTGAAAAAATATAAATGTTCAGGAATATTTTTCATAATTCTGTGTCTTTTAATAATTTTAACAATCTTACTTTAAGGTAATTAAGCTATTTCCTAATTTGAAGATTTCCAATTTGCAATCCAAGATTGTGAACATTAGGAAAATGTGAAGATCATAGGCTTGTTTTAAGAACTAAGGTTTTGCATATATTCGAGTGATCTCGCAAATAGGAACATTTTCAAAAGATATTTTTAGCATTTGACAGTTGTTCCCATATTTAAAACATGAGCAGTTCTTTTAATTTCATTAATATCGGGTAAATGTTGGTCCTTGGGTATGTAGTTATCCACACAAGCCTTCGTTTTAATTGGTGAAATTGACGAACATTTTGCCATATTTTCGATTCAATTGAGCAAATAAGCATGAGCATGATTGTCCGCCCGTGGATACAACTCCGTTATTTCCAGATCAGCTGTAATTACACAAGAGAACCAATAGACGTTGCTTGGGACTAGCAATCATCTTCATTGTGTAAATACTGGTGATCTAAAATTAGGCAATACCAGCGCCGGTCACGACCGAATGCTGGTCAAGAAAGGAATGTCTAGGAATATGTTGACGTAATACTCGCTTTAATGGAAGCCGAGAACACCTCTGCACTTCCACGAGGAATCACTGGGATGTTGGATAAGAGGGTTGGGTTTGCAGCAGGATTCATTTTGGAAAACGATAAGCTGAATTGATGTGCTAACGATTCAATAGCGCGAAGGAGCGTGGACACTCAGTAAGCAAAATCGGTCGCCAGTAGGCCACCGAGCTCCTTATTTCCCAAAACAATAACGATCAAGTTTCCGTTCAACTTATTGTTATCCCGGTGGCGACCTCACCGACGACGACAACAACTGTTTTTGAGAAGGATTTGGTTTGGATTTCCTGAAACTCAAATAAGGGAAATGGATGTAATGTCGGCCTAAATGCCACTAATTTGGGCCCATACATAAATTCAGCAATCGACTAAATTTTCAATAGCGACCAAACATATCCACCAGTACCGTCCAAATGACGCTTTCATCTAGATAAAATTGATAAATAGTAGATTTTTAGCGATGGGCCCAATCTTAGATCCATAGGCCAACATTAGAGCCATTTCCCCTATTACCTATTATAAAGTTTGAAATAACCAAACATTGAAGATGATAGCTAGTCCCAAGCATCATCTGTTGGTTCTCTGTGTACTTATCACGGCAATAATGGATTAGCAACCACGGGCGGCCTATCATGCTCATGCCCATGCCTATGGTCTTCAAGATCCAGAATCTTGAAAAGCTTCCATTCGACCTTCGAATTAGGAGTAAGTATCGGTTTCTTAGAATGAGCTCTGGAAAATGATTCAAAGAGATAGAATGATGAATAGTGTCTCTAATGCATTTATGTTAAAATGTAGCATATTTTTACAAAGATATTATAATTCATTAAATTTTTCTCCTCAGAAAGAGATCTTGTAAAACTTTCAAAGACCCAGAGCGTTGAAAATTGTTGTTATTGGGGGTGGGGTTGAACCCTTGAGAATGGTCCTTTGCAAATTGACTAGAAATTTCAGATAGTTTTGAGAAGAATTTCAAGAAAATTTTAAGGAAAATCATTTCAAGATCAATTCTAGATAGACCTGGAATTAGGGCGTAACAGCTGTTGTAAACAATGACTTCTTTCGATGATTTCTAAAAAGTCATGGCTCACCAACGCAAATCAACATCACCATCGGATAAGAGAAGACTTCCCTTACCCGATGGTTATGTAGCTTTGCGTGGGCATGCCTTGAATTCCTAGAAATCTCCGAGAGAAGTCATTGTTTACAAAAGCTGTTACTCACAAATACCTGCTCTATCTAGAATTACCAGGTAGATTTAAAGAGACTACGCGTGATGAGCCTACGACTGAAAATCAGTAAATGTAGATCAATCAGAAGAGAAAATCTAAGGAGAACTGCAAGGAATAATAAATAATAGCTTCAAGGGATTCTAAAACTTAATATAGCTCAAACAATTCGTTGCAGAATTTCAAGCTAGTTTGGGTTTAGACTTTAAGGATGCTTAAAAACCTCGATAAAACTCGCAATGTTACTTGGGAGGTAATTTCGGAGGAGGAGGATTTGGAAGAAAATTTTGAGCATAATTTCAGTGTTCCAAGAGATTCTGATAAATTTTCAAAGGGAATCCTAAGGAGAGTTTCAAGAGAATTCCAAGAAAATTCCAAGAGATCCTGTCGAGGGAATTTTGACAAAACCAAAACTCAAGAAAAGGCTGAGGATAATTCCCCTGGAATTCTGAGGTGAAATCGAAGGAATTTTTTTGGGATAATACTTTCTTAGAATCTAAATGACATACCAAGAGATTTCCGAGGAATACTCCAAGCGAATTGTAAGTAAGCTTTGAAGAAAATCATTCGAGATTTGATTAGAATACAAAGATAACTGAAGAGTGAATTTCAAAAGTTTTCTGGAAGGAATTCTCAAAGTATTGTGCACAGAATTCCGGACTATTATAGGGGAAAAAATCAGAGAATACCGGACAGAACCAGAAGATTATTCAAGAAAATCCTGAAAATAAAAGTCATTCTGAAGACAGACTAGATTCTGCGACGTGAAAAGTTTTCCAGGTTCTACAATTAAAAATAACAGAATCTGGGACAATGCTAATTTTTTTTCTTAGGTTTAAGACTTGACGTTGGCAGCTATGGAAATGTAGTATTAAAACGATGAAATGATCGTCAAACCTTGATGCTCTTTTATTGCGTAGCTGTTCAGATTTTTTTTTTGGGGTGTTGAGCCACTGTGAACTGTTCAGATTTACTGTCCTACCTGTGTTTTTTTTTAGTCAGAGGAGCGGAGCGACGGGCAAGCGAAGGGCTTCTTTAAAAATCTTCTTATGAAGCTTCTTTTAGAAACTTCTTAAGAAGCTTAATTTAGAATGATCTTTAGAAGCAATTTTTAGAATTGTCTTATGAAGCTTCCTATAGAATCTTCTTAAGAAGCTTCTTTTAGAATCTTCTTAAGAAATTTGTTTTTGAATCTTATTTGGAAGCTTGTTTTAGAATCTTCTTTGGAAGCTTGTTTTAGAATCTTCTTTAGAAGCATATTTTAGAATCATCTTAAGAATCTTCTTTAGAAGCTTAATTTAGAATCTTCTTAAGAAGCTTCTTTTAGAATCTTCTTAAGAAGCATCTTCTAGAATCTTGTTTAGAAGCATCTTTTAGAATCTTCTTAAGTAGCTTCTTCTTAAGTAGTTTCTTTAGAAACTTAATTTAGAATCTTCTTAAGAAGCTTCTTTTAGAATCTTCTTAAGATGCTTCTTTTAGAATCTTCTTAAGAAGCTTGTTTTTTAATGTTCTTAAAAAGCTTCTTCTAGAATCTTCTTAAGAAGGATCATTTCGAATCTGCTTAAAACGCTTCTTTTAGAATATTTTTAAGAAGCATAGAATCACCTTTAAATGCTTGTGTTAGAATCTTCTTTGGAGAAGCTTCTTTTAGAATGTGCTTAAGAAGCTTCTTTTAGAATCGACTTAGGAAGCTTCTTTTAGAATCTTTTTAAGAAGCTTAGAATCATATTTAGAAGCTTAATTTTGAATCTTCTTAAGCAGCTTCTTTTAGAATCCTCTTTAGAAGCTTCCGTAAGAATCCTCATTTAGGATCTTCTTTAGAAGCATTATTTAGAATCTTCTTAAGAAGCTTGTTTTAGAATTTTCTTAAGAAACTTCTTTTTGAATATTCTTTAGAACTTCTTTAAGAATGTTCTTTAGAAGCTTATTTTAAGAATTTCTTAAAAGCTGCTTCTAGAATCTTCTTAAGAAGCATCTACTAGAATCTTCTTTAGAAGCATCTTTTAGAATCTCTTTTTCGAAGCTTCCTTAAGAATCTTCTTTAGAAGCATGTTTTATAATCTTTATTTAGAATCTTCTTTAGTAACTTCTTCAGACGCTTCTTT